CCGGGCGCCCGGCGGGCTCTCCCCGCGCCACCCTCTTTTCATTAGCTAGCGGGGCGTTTGGTGTGAATTTAATCCTACTAAAAATACCATCGTGTTTGTGCTCCGTGTTTTTGTTTTTTAAATCATGAGCTATTTTTTTAATGTTTAATTTAATTGTTAATTGGAACTCTCTTTGTATGCTTAATGTTCTTTCCTGGAGGAAAAAAGATTAAGTGTTAGGATGAAGAACTTCTCTGAGATGTTCACTTGTTACGTCCCGTACCCTGTACTGAAGCAATAAATGCCCTGGTTTGCTTAGAGATTGGCTCTCCCGGGCAGTTTTCTCTCCCCTGGTCGTGGTCTGCTCGTGATCCTGGGAGCTGATGGCCAAAGTCATTGTCCATCACGCCCCCCCGGTGCATCACACCCTCCCTGGTCCATCACACTCACCCTGTGGTCCATCATGCACCCCCTGGTCCATCACACCCTCCCTGGTCCATCACACTCACCCTGTGGTCCATCACGCACCCCCTGGTCCCTCACACCTGCTGTGGTCCATCATACCCCCCTAGTCCATCGTGCCTCCCCCCACAGTCCATCACACCCCATGCTCCATCATTCTCCCCAGTCCATCACCTGCCCCCGGTCCATCACGTCCCCCACCCCAGTCCATCATTCCCCCCGTGCTCCATCATGCTCCTCCAGGTCCATCATAGCTTCCATGGTCCATCATGTTTCATTGTACCCATCTCTGTCCATCACCCCCCCCTCCAACGGTCCACTTTGTCCCCCTTGGTCCGTTGCACCCTCCCCAGTCCATCATAGCCCCTGTGGTCCATCATGCGCCCTGTGGTCCATTGCACACCCCATGGTCCATCACACCCGTCCTGGTCTGTCATACCCATCGCACCTGCCCTGGTCCGCTGCTCCACAGTGCTTCCAGCCTCGCACCCGCCCTGCCATGGAGGCAGCCTAGTGCCTCAGGCACCGGCTGGCTGAGTAGGTCCCAGTGCCACCCAGCCTTCACAGGTCCAGAGAGGGGCTCCAAGGGGACGTGCGCCATGAGCTGCTGGGGCCCAGGGCCTCACCTGCTCCTCACTGCTGGGGCCTGCCTCAAAAATGGGCTTTCGCCATCAATGGAGCCACATTTTCCTGTAGCATCCATTCTTGTTCGACCCAATACACCACCATGAGCTCCAGCTGGGCTTTGGGCCACCTGATGTCACTCCAAGAGCTGGAGCCGTGCTTAGACGCTCCCCTGTGCTGCCTACCCAGTTTGCACTCCTGCTGCACGATCTCTTCCTGCATTTGAGCTGGCTGAGAAGCTCCCTGCTCAGCCAGGCAGTGCTCAGCGCCATTCCTCTCTTCCCACAACGGGAGGGGGTTTGTGCCTGGGTCCTCTCGGAAACGTCACTCCATGCTCTGGGACACCTGAGTCATCAGGGCTGCCTCGCATCTCCTAAACCAGGCCACAGGCTCTGCTAGGACCTAACATCCAGGTCCTACTCCTCTCCCACCTGCTCCTCTCCCACCTCCTGCTCCTCTCCCACCTCCTGCTCCTCTCCCACCTCTGCTCCTCTCCCACCTCCTGCTCCTCTCCCACCTCTGCTCCTCTCCCACCTCCTGTTCCTCTCCCACCTCTGCTCCTCTCCCACCTCTGCTCCTCTCCCACCTCCTGCTCCTCTCCCACCTCTGCTCCTCTCCCACCTCTGCTCCTCTCCCACCTCCTGCTCCTCTCCCACCTCTGCTCCTCTCCCACCTCTGCTCCTCTCCCACCTCCTGCTCCTCTCCCACCTCTGCTCCTCTCCCACCTCTGCTCCTCTCCCACCTCCTGCTCCTCTCCCACCTCTGCTCCTCTCCCACCTCTGCTCCTCTCCCACCTCCTGCTCCTCTCCCACCTCTGCTCCTCTCCCACCTCTGCTCCTCTCCCACCTCCTGCTCCTCTCCCACCTCTGCTCCTCTCCCACCTCCGGCCCCCCTCCAAAAACAAA